TCTCGAAGCTGTGGAATTGTATTCCACCTTATTTAAAACATTTAAATATTGAAGCCTTTAAAGTACAGTACAAACAGTCCCTCCTATCCTGCCTGATATAGTCTTAACCTACTTGTCAAATTATGAATTAGAAGCTAAATATTGATATGATTACTTTGCCATAACTATTTTCTACTTTCTATTATATTCCATGTAAAATTATTAACACGCAGTAGCCGCCAACTCGAAAGCTCACGCTACTTTGGCTACTGCGCACATCCAATCTAAGTCTATGATAACATAAATATGTAATAATTCTTCAGTTTTATAATTTCAACAGATAACTTGTAAATATACTAATATCATGTGCATAATAAATCTTTCTTTCTTTCTTTCTTTCTAGCCATTTAACAAACTAATAAATTTAGCTTTACATCTCTGAATTGATCGTGATATATCAACAAGCTTCAAAGCCAAAGATAAGTATTCAAATAGTACATTTTCATCATTAATACATTACTGACTTTTTATAAAGTCATTTTAAATTCTTATTACAACATTCCGAACTGCGCTACTAGGCTTGATGTGTTATATTTTGCAGCCTTTAATCTGTTAGGTTTTGAATTCTAACTTGTGCTTATATTATTTGTGTTTATTCATCCAATTGTCTTTTGTTATTGGATTTGTTTAAAATTTGTCCTTATCTACAGGGTGTCTCAAAAAACCCCAAAATCATTGAAATTGACGTATTGTTCGATATTCAATGCCCTAGCACTAAGTTAATCCCACGAGTGCATAAAAGATTGACATAACTGCTAATAATGGTAATACTCAGCGTAAACTTGTTATGTCAGGCATAAAGTACTAAACCCACGAATGCATATTACGCATACTACAATTTACGAAGCATTTTTAAATTCCCATGAGCAAACAAACGTTCACTTTACAAAGATATTTTAATTTTTTAAAACAAATTAATCACCCTGTCAAAATCCTTTGTGTTACGGCATTGAAATTCGAACAATACGTTATTTCAATGATTTTGGGTTTTTTTGAGACACCCTGTATAATTACTCTGTTTAATTCTCATTCATTGAATTATACTGTATTACTTATATATTGTTGTAATTTGCATGCTGCTCAGCTCTAATGACCAAGGAGCTGTGTAATGTATGCGATAAATCCGTACGTTCAAACCAAAAAGCTATTTGTTGTGAAGTATGCCAAAACTGGGTTCATCTAAAATGTACTTTTCTTAGGTATAGTGACTATATCGAATTGGGTACAAGTTCCGATGACTGGTTCTGTAGCTTTTGTATAGCAGATGCAATCCCTTTCAGTTTTCTTTCTGATGACGATTTCCTGTTAGTACTCCGTGAACATGATTCCGGACTTAGTCTTAACATAGACTCATTTAATGATTTATTATTCAATCCATTTTCTTTGAGTTCTCCCATATCGAATCTAAATTATCTCGATCCAGACCAGCAATTCTTCAGCAGTTGCATACCTAATAATACCAAGTACCTACTTGAAGATGAATTTATAAGTCTGTATTCTGATAAACTTGACTCTTTCTCCCTCAACCGTAGTCTCCGACATAATTTTGATAAATTTACTGATTATCTACACCTTTTAAGTTATCCTTTTTCTGTAATTGGATTAACGGAAACTTGGGTATCTGATACTGAAGTTGACCAATGTAAACTCGTAGATTATAATATTACGTGTAATCGTGTAAATCGCCAAGGAGGTGGAATTGCCCTTTATATCAGAGATAATTTGAACTTTAAAATAATTGATACTCTGGGAATTAACGATGATAATATCTGTCAATCTCTTTTTTTGAAATAGACCTAAATAACTCTGATGTAATTGTTGGCGTTATTTACAGACCACGTCATGCTAATATTGAACTATTCAATAATTATATTGACACTACCCTTGCCACACTTAATCGATCCAATAAACCACTTTACATATAATGGGTGACTTTAATATCAATTTACTAAAACTTGGCTCTAGTGATGTCTCAAAAGATTTATTTGAGACCATGACTTCCTATTCTCTATGCCCTACGATTTTTAAACCTACTAGAATAACTTGTCATACAGCCTTACTTATTGATAATTGCTTTACTAACAGTTTCGAGGATACCTCTTGTTCTGGTATTCTAGTCACAGACATTTCTGATCATCTCCCTATATTTCTCATTTCGAATATTAATTTAAAACACTCTGTAAATTCCCGTGATAACCAAACTAATATTTTAAAGAGGGAAATTAATCAAGACAGAATTGATAGTTTTAAAATGGATCTTCTTACAACGGACTGGCAATCTGTTTACGACTCATCTGATCCTTGCATCTCTTATGATATATTTTTGGATAAATTCAAATCTTTATATGATCAAAATTTTCCAACTAGAAAGATCAATCATAAAAAATTACCCCGTAAACTTTGGATTTCAAAAGGGTTATTGAAATCAATAAAAAGAAAGAACAAATTATATAATATATTCATACATAAGAAAACTGATACTATAGTAAGCAAAAATTTAAATCCTACCGAAACAAGTTAAATCATCTCTTAAAGATTGCAAAAAGGCACCACTATATTGTTGTAAATTTGACCTAGCTAGAAATGACCTCAAGCAAACCTGGTCGATTCTTAAATCTCTCATAAATAGAACAAAGACCATGTCCAAATTCCCTGACATATTTAAAAATAATGAAACTGTGATCTCTGATCCTCAACTTATAGCCGATTCTTTCAATAGTTATTTTACCAATATTGGTGCTAACTTAGCTGATCAAATCATACGGACTTCTACTACCTATCACCATTATCTAAAGGGCTCATACCCAGAATCATTTGTATTCTTCCCCACAAATGAACTAGAAATTTCTGATTATATTTCGATTCTAATAAGTCACCTGGGATAGTTCTATAGATCCTTTCATTATCAAACAAATATCTACATCCATAGTCCCTTTATTAACTTACATATTCAATAATTCAATGGAATCAGGAAAAGTCCCTGATCAACTTAAATCTGCATTAGTCACTCCAGTTTACAAAGCTGATGATCGTACATCATTCTCCAATTACAGACCGATATCAATTCTTCCAATTTTCTCCAAATTATTAGAAAAGGTCGTATATACTAGATTATTAAATTACCTTGATAAACTTTGCATCTTATCCGCCAATCAATATGGCTTCAGGAAAAACATTCGACTTACATGGCATTGATTGATTTAATAGATAATGTGTCCCAGGCGATCGATGACAAAAAAATTGGTTTGGGTGTGTTTGTAGATCTATCCAAAGCATTTGATACAGTTGACCATGATATCCTTATTAATAAACTCAGTCATTAAGGGATTAGAGGAGTCCAATTGTCATGGTTTGCGGACTATCTAAAAAATAGGACTCAAAGAGTAAAATTCAAAGATTGCATTTCGTCCCCCAGAACTATCAATTGTGGTGTCCCCAAGGCAGTATATACTCGAAACGCTGCTAAGATTCATATAAAGAAGGTGCGAACTACTACTAGAAAGCTAACTCTTAAGCATAGTGGCTCAATTCTCTGGAATTCCCTCAATAATTCTATTACTCAGTCTCATTCACTCAGTTCCTTTCAAATCAAACTCAGAAATTTCCTCATGAAGGCAAATAGCTAAAGGTTAATTTAACTGAGTTAAATATTGTAATATTCTAAATTTGTTTCTTAATCTCATCTTTTGCTCTGTTCATCTATCTCGTAACCATGCCAAAACCGTGATCTCTAACTATTTATAACATCTATATATACAAGCTCTTTGGTTTTTTTTTGCTGAGCACCATCCAAATATATGTATATAGGTTCTTTGTATGTTTGCATGGCGAAAAAATATAATGGTTTTGTTTGTGGAAACACCACGTAAATTACGTGGTGTTTCCACAAACAAAACCATTATATGTATATATACTTATGTAAATAATTGTATATTTGGTAAATAAAACTATTATGTTATGTTTATGTTAACGATCGACCATGGATGAATAATAACTTGAGAACCCTTATTAATAAAAGGCAAAAAAGCTTTTGCCCAAGGTAACCAAACGCTTTACAAAATGTTACGAAACAAAGTCAGTCGTTCCAGAAAAAGGTGTCGCAAGTTGTATTATGAAAATAAGGTCGAAGATATGAAGCATACTAAACCAAAGGATTGGTGGGGGGAAGTGAAACGGTTTTGTGGTCTTTCCATGGGAACACCTGATAATATTTTTGCAAACCTAGAACAGGATACACAAGATCCCACTGTTCTTAGTAATCTGATAAATGACACGTTTTTGGAACCCATGCTTAATTATCCTCCTTTAAACGATAATGTGGCTGTTATATCTGAAAACGATACCCCAATTGTTGTTTCTGTCGAAGAAGTTTTGTCTCATTTACAGCGTATCGGTTCGGGTAAATCAAGTGGCCCCGATAATCTACCGAACTGGGTGTTGGAAGCTAGCAAACGTATGTCCCATTCCCAAAAATAAGATTGTACTGGACGTTAATAAAGATCTGCGGCCTATATCACTCACATCATTGTGCAAAATTGCTGAGTAAATTGTCATCTCATGATCTAAAGTCTTCAATAATGTCACGTATAGATCCCAATCAATATGGTTTTATTCCTGGCTCCTGTACTACATTGGCTCTAATATCCTTAATTTCCTTGATCGCCGTCTTAAAACTGCAAAATCATAAGTTGAAATTTCACTCGTGTTGTTTTTAAATTATAGGAAAAACTTCACTAACATCTTAAGTATGGAAAGCATCTACATTATCAGCATTTTAATTGTGGATTGATTCAAAACTCAGGCGACAAAGTTACATAGCCTGGAGTTGGCATTTGTGCTCTTCGAATATCCATTTTCATTCGCGGATTACCACAACTTGTTGGTCTAGTGGGTGCCAAAATCGACATAAACGTAAACTGCTAACCAAAAGCTATAAAACAAATAGCTTTTGAAAAAGATAAACTTTATTCAGTCAAAAGGATGAGGGTAAATAAATATGCTACTGCGTAATGGTCATTTCGAAGCAACTTTGTCACATAAATTTTAAAAAGTGGGATAATGAATCAAATTTTCCTTTTTGCAATCCCAAAAAGGTATGAAAATTATTAAATATTTAAGGTTTCCGTGTTTATAAAGTATTTTTTTGAGAAAAGTAAAAAATTTCCCGATAAAAAAGCATACTTTCTGCAGAAAACTGTTTTTTGAGATAGAAGATCCTGGGGGAGGGGGTGTAGAAGCGTGGGCGGATAGCAAAAAACCTTGACGATTCCTCCAAAAAATTAATACCAAATTTTGTTTTGCCTTTGTTTGATATGTAATTTAAACAAGTTTTTTTACATCGAAAACTGCCCCTAGTGATCAAAACTTGGATTATGTGCGCAGTATTGGCTATTTGTTTACTTTTGGAGATCAAAGTTTGAAGTCCAATTATTTTTAAAGTTTGCAAACTACCCAGTTAATACTTGCCTGTTGTTTGCAGCCTTGTATGCTGATTAAGATTTAGTTTAGTCCACAATAGTAGATCGTTTCAATGAAGAGAATTTAAAAATAGTATATTTGATTACTTTTGCATCACAGTCAGTACATAGGTAGGGTGCAATACCAGGCCAAATTACAAAAAAAATTACCGATTCCACCAAATTCAAAATCATAATTTTTTGCTCCCAACGCACATAGGAAACAGAATTTAACAACAAATTTTGTTGAAAAATTGCCCCTTTGCGTCTAATTTCGCTTTGAAATGCGTGCGTTTACTGCTCTTGTATGAGGGCGTTGTGAAAACCCGGAATGCCGGAATATCACGGAATATGGCGGAATATGCCGGAATATCACGGAATATGCCGGAATATCACGGAATATGGCGGAATATCACGGAATATCACGACATTTTCCCGGAATATACCTGGACATCACGATCTTTTTCGATGGTAGCCATGCGACTGTTTATAAACATAGACGCCTTTATTTTAGCATTTGATTTTTGGATAAATGCTTAGTGGTATAAAATTGACCATTACATATCGCCACTAAGCATTTATCCAAAAATCAAATGCTAAAATAAAGGCAAGTTTGAGCCAAAATGTTCAAATTCTTGTTTATATCAGGTAAGAAGTCTAGTCCCGTCTTAACCTTAACCAAGAATTTTTAACTAAATTTTGTGTATAACCATAGTTAATAGAAGAG